CCAACATCAATAACAATGGAGCCCTTTTCATAAATGTTGACACCCTTGGCTCTCTCTCCTTCCTGCACATTTGTGCCAAGGCACCGTCCCAAGTCCGAGCTAATTTCCTTTCTACCAGAAAAATGGATCACTGATTATGAAAAGCTTCATGTACCAGAAGAAAAGCTAGTACAAGTTTTGAATCCTAGTCTTACAAGAAAACAAGATAGCAGTGTTGAAATACAGTTTCCCACATTTGTTCCATTAAATGCAAGGCCTCCAATATTTCCCACTTCTGAAATGCACATGATTGTTCCGGTATATGCCTTTAACCATGAAGGCTTGCCGATATATCAACAAAAATCAGAAGATGGCCATCAATGGTTTAATCCATTCTGCCAGTGTATTAATTGCCTCTCAATCTCTGATGAAGAGGATAACCCCAAGCCAAGAAAAAAAGAGAAAAGCTCCCAGCAGTCAATGAAAAAAAGATATGAGATTGGTGACCTAGAAGTTGGTACCCTTGGAGAACCAGGAGCATCCGGTCATTTTTAGTACTATGTACCAATGTTGTCAAATTCGCTTTGAAGTCTTCTTCTGTTTGGTGAGAAAAATGAAGCAATTCAGTGCTTCAACCGATTCGGGGGAAGACTTCGGACTTTTTTTTTTAATTTAATATAAATAAATTACATATTATATGAATAAATTACATATTTATATGTAAAATATATAACAATAATGGAAAAAAAAATGCTTTTATATAGGTATTTCTTTTCTGACCGAAGTAGCTCCAAGCTTCGGCCGAAGCAGACCCGAATCTGACCAGAGCTTCAGCAGCACGCTTCTCTTCGCTTCGGGTTATGCTTTAAAACCGAAGGCTTCGGCTGAAACAAAGAGAATTTGATAACATTGCTATGTACTCAATCCCAAAAACTCACACCCAAAAGCCAAACCATCAGACTACCAACCTCATGACCCACCAAGAAAGGCAGACCAATACAAGCCACCCCTGAATCCTTACTACCAAAATGCCCTCAAACTAATTCATCATGAACCAATTACCACCCCTGAATGCCACATGTTTTCATCCTTCTCTCCTGACTACTCCAAGGATTTCCCCCCACTCACAGACTTTCCCCCCACTCACAGACTTTGAACATACCAACACAAAGCATACATGGAAAATAAAAAATCCCACAACCAATTGGTCCACAAGGGCAAAAGGACCAGATTTCCACGGCCGAAACAGTCCTGAATTGGTAATCAGAAAATTCTCTAGCCCAAAACAAAGTCCTCCCCAAAATCCTCTCCAACCAAGAAATACAAGCCAAACAGATCCAGCAAAATGTGAGTATGATTTCTGAAATCAAAGAAAACATCTAGGCACTCCATGAAGAACTTATTGAACTTGTCACAAAGTTCAACAACTGTCTTGCAACACCCCACCAGAGCAATGGCTACCCAACCAGAGCAATGGCTACCCAACCAGAGCAATGGCTACCAAACACCCCACCATTATTCCCAAAACCCTCTCAACCAAACTCCCAATATTCTCTGCTTACAGACCAACCTTCTCACTTTTCAAATCATCGTTACCTTCACAGATATTCCCACCTTCCTCATTACCAGCCACAAACCTCCTCAACCCAAAAAAGCCTAAGAAAGATATTACGACCCAAATTCCAAAATCCACCACTGTAGACAAAGGAAAAAGCACCCAAGAACATCCACCTCTCCAAAACCAACCCTCTCCCTCAAACCAAACCCCCGAAGTTCAACATATAGAAAACCCCATCATAGACTTCCTGCTACGAACCATCCAAAGCAACCATAATGACCAGGAGCCAGAAACAAGTGATGCCTCTTCTGAACACAGTGCTGATTATTTGTATGATCAGAATGATAGTGCTCCCCTGCAAAATTTTATGGTGAAAAATGAGGATCCTCCTCAGCAACAGGAAGAACAGATGCCCTATGTTGAAGAGACAGATCTTGAAAGTGATGCTGGTGACATGGGAGAACTATAAAGAAATTTAAGACCCAGCAATTTTTTGAGAAAAAACAGCAGTTCTCATTTGAGGACATTCCCTTTCCCCAGTGGAGAGATCGCTTACTAGAAATGTATGCATGGTGCACAACGGAATCGCAACTCCTAGGAGCAACTACAGAGTCAGTAATCTGAAAGTTCATTGTAAGAACAACTAGAAGATTAAGGGAGCAGTACAATAGCCTTGGACCATATAGGCAACTCCAACTGTGCAGCAGGTGGACATATAGACCTTTATTGCCTATATTCACAAAGAATTTCTTGGAGACACCCAGCTTTATGTTGACCAAGCAAGAGGCGAATACCTAGGGGCCAAATGTTGCTCATTCAATCCAGAACAACTGATGAAACATTTTGTGGCAATGTCCAAAAGATACTATGTGATAGGAGGAGTTGATGATCTTACCCTAAAACAATCCTACCTAACCTCTCTTCCTGAGCCATTAGGAGATGAAGTTAGCAAACTCCTAACAACAAGAGGAATTGCCTTACCCCAAGCAACCCTTGGTTACGCTATCAAGACACCAAATTGGCCTTGGAAAGGCTGTGCAAACAAAAACTTCCTTGACCAGATTGAGTCCACAGCGAGAAAAGTTGAAAGTGCATGCAATATCAAAGCGCTTCAATTCCAATGCTCAGATTCCAAAACTTGTGATTGCTCAAACAAGAAACAGAGCCACTTCAGAAAGGGAAACAACTTCAGAAGAAACAAATTTCCGACAACAAAACGAAATCTTGGAGGTTCTTGAGAAAAAAAGCCAGAAGAGGAAAATCTTCTAACAAGTGTTTTATCTATAAGAAACCTGGGCATTTTGCTAAAAACTGCCCAAAGAAGCACAAAAGTGAAAGTGATAAAATTACTTGAACATTTCCCCGATGATGAAGCTGACCTTGAATCAATATTCTCCCTAGATGATGAAGAAAACTCTTCATCCTTGCTTGCCATTGGCTACTCAACAGAAGAAGATGAAGATGTCCTTTATATTGACAACCACATTTTTCTAGTTTCCCTACCCTCTGAACCCACTATAGCCAACATCTACCAAACACCCCATGCCCGAGTCCAAATTTTCACCAAAAAATATGCCAAACCTATACCTGTCATTGCATTTTTTTGACACCGGCGCAGAAATGTCCATCCTAAACCCAAGGATCCTTCCACCAAGCCACTGGAAAAATCTACCGAAATCTTCAAAGCAGCAAATGGAGAAAAATTCACTATTGATAAAATCTCCAAACCCATAACCGTTAAACTGTTCCCAGATTGCAAAATCAAGCACCAGATCCTTGGGTCAGACCTCCCTGGAAAGGACCTATTGATAGGATACGATATCCTTCAGAATCTCCTTCCAAAAATGGTATCTTATACCAAAACAATCTCCTACACTGGACTAATATTCCAAACCTATAGCTCCTAAACTGGACCAATGTTCCAAACCTATAGCTCCTAAACACCTTAGACACCATAAGAAGAGAAATCATAACCACCTCTTGTGCCAAAACCCATAGCCAATTCCTAAACAAATGTCCCAAACCACTCTGGAAAAATCCTAATTTCTTTGTCTTGTTTTGCTTTTGTCTTTGTACCCGATGATAAGGGACATGAGTGTGATTTGTTTTGTCTTGTTTCCTTTTGCCCTTTAGGTTTGTACCCCATGATAAGGGACAATAAGTGTGATTTCTTTTGTCTTGTTCTGCTTTAGCTCTCTTTGGAGTCATGTGAGTACCCCTCACCACTCCTTTACGGACTTAAGAGAATTTCAAGTCTATGAGGTCTATAAAAGGGGAAACTCATAGAAGATGGAGGGCAGAGCTTGGAGAAGTCAAAAGCCCCATGAGTCACCTTAAGTCCCCTTAGGTCATAAGTCTCTGAGGCAGTTACAGTCCAAGCACTTTGTAAGAGTTCCAGCAGCTATAATGAAATGATATGTTTATGGTGTGTAGTACTTCTAAGCCTCATCTTGTCTTTTCATATTCCATCCCTATTATTTTGCCTTGCTGTCTTACACCTTATATCTTCTAATAATCCTATACCCGTGTACTCTGTGATTGCCATATAACTATGGATCCTTCACACAAAAAGGGTTAGGGTTTTTATCTCATTCGAAATAAACTGAGTTAGGGTTTCATATTGGTTTAAGATAAGAGTTTAGGGTTTCACCTCACTTGGTTTAGGGTTTTGGTTACTTGGTTTAGGGTTTCACCTATTCTCTACTATTGAAAAAGACACAAGTACCCTAAGTTAAATCCATAAAAGACCAAATAACCTGAAACCCAACTTCTATATCTTAAAATTAATAAAATAATAGAAACCGTCTATGTCATAACTCCAGTTACTATCGGATAATTTCAATACTTGTCAAAGGGCAAGGGCTTCAACACATGGTGATTTAGGAGTGCCAATGGGTCCTGAGAATGAGTAGAACCTTGGTTGTCCTGAAAATTTGTCCTGCTACTGCCCTTCCTGTGTTTCCAAGTGAGTAGAGTACCCATCAAAGTTGAGTTTGACTTTATTCACAAAGTAAATTTTATCATCGCGAAATTGATTTACAAGTATATATCCATTTTCGTAACCTAATTAGTCAATTCCCATTTCGAGTTTATTAACAAAACTTTGAATCACCAAAAGAATTCACTATATAGCCCCTTTCAAACAACCCTTATCCTGCCGATGTCTCTGCTTCCATATTTGATGAGTTTCATGTTCCCACAGTGAGTTTGCTTATTTTGTAAGAAACTAATTATTCATGTTTCATGGTCACAATGAATCAAAGATAGCATCACTATATTGAATTTCTCTCTATTGTTTTTCTTTTCTTTTTTTTGTTTGGTTTTAGCCTATAGCTGATGGACAGCTTTTCACCTTCTACTTAATGTGCTTTATGGGTTAAGCATTCACATGTGGTGCTTCTCTTTATTCTGTGATGATTCTCCATTATGGTATTAACTTTCTCACTTGTGTTGGTCTTTGTAGTGCCCAAATTGTGGAAATGATTTTCAGATATTCAAGTAAGTTGTTTGCCTTCTTAAACTTGTCATCCTTGCTAAACTAGTTGTCTCCTATTCTGTATTTTCCTTCAGTTATTGCGTATAACTAATTGTTCTATCTATAGATCTTCTTTAAAGGATGGACAGCAACTATGCCCATTTTGTAGTCAGCCTTTCACAGGTAAAACAAAACTTGCCATTCTTGTTTTGAATGCAACTTTCTGATATCCCTTTGCCTTTTCAGCAATGTTCCAAAAAATGTCGGGTGGCACCTAGGCAGCTGGGGGGTCTAGGCCCCAATAGAATAAAAAGCATGGGATGTCTAACTGTCAAACTGTTTTAGGGTCAGATTTTGGGTAAAAAATAAAAAAATACATATTGGGACATATAACACATGGATGAGATTAGCATGCGGACCAAGCCTGCACATGTAGAAATGCGGGCTCCATAATAAATTTATTTTTGAAATAGAATGTGATCCTAATTTTGAGAGAACATATAGTTTTTAACATGGAGATTAATCTGTAAAAATAAATAAATTTTAAATATTAAAAATAATAATTCTATTAAGAAAACATTTGGACCGTTAGTTTCCATTGTTTTTAGATGGACCATCTATTTGCATCCATCTTTAAGATGGATGCTTTACACTTCTGGACAGCATATGTAGAAATGCAGTCCAGCTCGCATGAAACAATTTTCCATAGCACATTAATAATATATAATATATAATCCGGGTCAGATTTTGGTTAAAAAATTTAAAAATACATATTGAGACATATAACATATTAATACTATATAATATAGATAGTCCATTCAAAATCCATTCATCCATAATTCCATACATTTCAAATTCAAAAATCAAAGCTCAAACTTCGAACCATTAGACATTAGAGTATTAGATTATGCCCCATTGTCCATACCATAATTCAAACTCCATGCACTCCATAATCCATATACACAGTAAAAATATAATCCAAGACAACAAGATATTGATATTCAAACTTTCACCTTTGAGATGTTTTCCAATCTCAAAATTTTCTAAAACACCCCTCTAATTGTCCTAAAAAATCTCCACAAGCAAAACTAATCTCATTGGGTGATGTTTGGATCGATTCTCAGGACTTTGAGAAACTCTTCCATTCTATGAAAATCACAAAATACTACGCTTTTTGAGGTTTCTATCTCTCTAAAATGGTTCCAGTGGTGTTTAGGTTGGATATGAATCTAAACCCCTTTTTTACATATTTGTCTTTAAACAAAAAAACAAAAAATGCCCCTCTTTCTAGGGCGGCCACCAAGCCCATAGGCGGCTGCCCAATTTGCCTGCCTAGGCCTGGGTGATGGGCCTTGGCCGGCCTAGGCACTAGGAGGGCCGCTTTTCTAAACACTGCTTTTTAGACTTTGCATATGGAAATAATATTTCATGGAAAAATTGGAATTTATAATGAAATATGCTCAATGGGAGTGGAGACAAATAGGTAATGGGTAGTAATAAAGCTAAATTAATACAACAATATGTACTCTATTAATG